TGAACGAACCAGTCCATGATAGAGTATTGATTGATAAGATCAACAATAGCCCAAAGGTTGCATGGAAGGCTACCTCCTACTCACAATTTGAAAAGATGACTTTGGGTGAATTCAGAAAGGTAGGTTGATGATGAATATTTTTATTGTCGTGTTGATAGAAATGTTTTGAATTGGTTTCAATCGTACTGATTTTTTCGTGTTGGTTTTGTTCCTTTGTTCGTTCGTTCTCTACTTTTCATTTGTTGATATTTGAAATTATTCCCATGATGATGACTATTGACTCGCTATTGACAACACATTAACCTGTGTTGCACACATGTGGTCTTCGTCCATATTCTCCGTTTTCGCGAAATGTGGAATGATTCTGTGATGCTGATTGAATGTTATTATTCACGAATCCTCCTTTCTCCTCATGGGCACACCTATCTATAGAGGCTCGGAACTGTTCTCATTCAAAAGGGAACTGCTGACATGCTCCCAAAGAAGACTATTGCTCCTCTCGTTGGTGCTCCAGCTGCTTTCGATTCAAGAACCAAGTGGCCAAATTGCGTCCACCCAATCCGTAATCAAGAGCAATGTGGTTCCTGCTGGGCCTTCTCTGCCTCTGAAGTCTTGTCCGATCGTTTCTGTATTGCCTCCACTGGTAAAGACAATGTTGTCTTGTCTCCTCAATACATGGTCTCTTGTGATACTTCTGACTATGGTTGTGATGGTGGTTATTTGAACAATGCTTGGAATTTCTTGGCTACTACTGGTATTCCAACTGATTCCTGTGTCCCTTACACTTCCCAAAATGGAGATGTTGCTGCATGCCCAAGCACTTGTCAAAACGGTGGATCCATCAAGTTGTACCGAGCAAAGAACCCACAACAATTGAACGACATTCCATCCATCATGGCTGATATGGAAGCTAACGGACCAGTTCAAGCTGCCTTCTCCGTCTACCGTGACTTTATGAGCTACAAGTCTGGTGTCTACCACCACGTTTCTGGATCATTGTTGGGTGGTCATGCTATCAAGATTGTTGGTTGGGGTGTGGACAGTGTTTCCAACAAGCCATACTGGATTGTTGCCAACTCTTGGGGACCATCTTGGGGTTTGAATGGATTCTTCTGGATTTTGAGAGGAAGTGACGAATGTGGAATTGAAGACAACGTATGGGGTGCAGGAGTTTTACTTTAAAGCAATTGATTTACTTTAAATCATGGCAGCATTGAAGATGGCTCTTTGTGAACCTGATTTTGACAATAAAACAATGTTTCCATTGGACCTGCGCTCAACTAGATTCAATTAAATCCAGCATTTCACAAGTCTGACATTTGACAAGCAAAGAATTGTGTGAATTCACTTCCTAAGTCTTGTTGTGTTTTAAAACACTCATCACAGATCGCACAACGATACATTTTGTGGATTTTGGAGACCGCCATGGCGTGCTGAGCCAAATGTTTTTGAAAACTATTTCTCAACATGGAGGTTCCACAAACTTTTCTCTCAACTTGACTTGGTTTAGTATTCACTGGTGGATTAGAATGACCATCATTGTTCGATGATTGTTCTTCCTTGTCGACACCATCTTGGAAATCGATCAAATCGTCATCCTCGTCATCCTCTTCATAATCCTTCAAATCATCATCATCATCATCTTCGGGATCCATGAAATCATCATCCTTAGTTTCACCATCTTCCATTAAATCCTGTATGCCCTTGAATGCTTTAACCATAGTTGTTTCTTGCATCTTGTCCACAATTTCCTGAAGGTGAAAAGGTGTCATGGATTTCTTGAATTCTCGGTTGACCGAATTTGAGCAAGTCGTTTTCGATTTTACTCGATTTTTTTTCGCACTTTTTGGAAAATCACAATGCTTCTCTCGTTTTCTGAACATTCTCTCCACAGCAATGCCATATTTGCTGAATAAAACCTAAATCAATGTTGGCCTCATTTGTAATCACTCCACGTGGAATACAAATTCCATCTCTTTCAGTATGACAAAGTTTAGAATTCTCTTGAATGGGAGTCAAAAAAAATTGAATCTACCTTTGGGACGTGAGATCTGACCCACTCTTGACCAAAGGCATTGGGAGTGAATTTGTTGGCCGTGGAGTTTTTGGATGGTTTGAAAACTGACTCAAAATAATTGTCAATGTTATGTGAAGGCCATTCAACGTTCCGACTACTGTGTTTTCTTTTTCGAAAAAGGATCACAAGAGCATATTTCGCTTCCCATGAATCACTATGAGTCGCAGAGGAAGTTGTATCGTCATAACGTCCTCCCACACCCAAAGAACAAAAAGAACAGCCACACTTTAAGAAAATCACATTGGCAAGTCCTTCATGTTGCAAATGCCAAGAATTACAACTCTTTCTCTTGATGAAAATGACCCCTCCATTCATTTTGACTCTCTTGTAAATATTCAAAAGCAAATGGACACAATATGGTTTCACATCCTCATCAATGAATGTCTATCTATCACCACAAGAAGCATTTCTGAAATATTTCTGGTCCTCAATGAAGTTGTAAATCCAAGAAGGATCTCTTGCGGCAGATTATTTCGCCGACACTCTGAAAAAAAAATACCTCAATTCAAATTCCCATTAAATCGCTCGCCACGCCATCGATCCGATTCTTTTTAACGACATTATAAATTGCCTCTACAAGTGTGGTGATTCTTTTCCAATAATAATAGCACATTCCTCGCAGTGGATATGGTATTTACACCTTTTGAATCGAGCATCGGAGGCTTATTGATTGGTGCTTCCGTAAGTGCCTATGCCTATTTTCAAGGACGAATTTCAGGTATGAGTGGAATTGCCGGATGTGCATTCCGTGGACTCAAAAACAAGATACTGCCATCATCATCGCCTCATGTTACGGAAGAAGAGTTGGCTCACAAAATTCTCTACATTTTTGGTTTAATGATTGCAGGATTTACAGTGTGGTTTCTAGAGATGGCTCCTGATCATTTTGTTCATGTTTCATCTGTTTGGCTCTCTTCTCCTTCAGTGTGGATCTTGTTTTTGGTGGCAGGAGTGTTGAGTGGATTCGGAACACAGCTAGGAAGTGGATGTACATCGGGAATGATGATTTGTGGAATTGCACGACTTTCTGTGAGAGGCTTTGTCTCTACCATGGTGTTTTCTTCAGTTGCTTTTGTTTTTGTCAAGTATTTGAAAAGTATTGAGTTTATAGCTCAGAATTTGATTCATGTAGGTCAAGGAGTGGAATTAGACAAGCCGTTCATGGCATTCCCAAATATGGAGAGAGCAGTATTAATTTTCATTTACTTTTTATTACTCATTTCGATTTATGCCTTCATTTTGAGACGAGTCAATTCATGGAGTGACCATGCGAAACAAACTTTGGACTTTTATTTGCCCTTTTACAATGGATTGGTGTTTGGATCGGGATTGGCACTGAGTGGCATGACCAATCCAATGAAAGTACTTGGATTCTTTGATATTGGAGGTGAATATTACGATCCATCCTTATTCTGTGTAGCCATATTCGCCATTCTACCAAGCATGTTTGTTTTCCAAAAGTATGTGTTGCCAAAATCTTCCCATCATGAAAAACCACCAATTTCTGCCAAATATCACATGCCAACATCGAATTCCATTGATTGGAAACTTGTTGGGGGAGCCTCTATTTTTGGAGTGAGCTGGGGAATGGTTGGCGTTTGTCCTGGGCCTTGGATGACCTCTATGGGATCGTTGAATCCTCTCTTTGTCGTATTCGGACTTGGTTTTGGACTTGGTGTTTACTGTAAAGATTTGTTCATGTAGGGCATGTAGGGTGACCAAGTCGTTCAAATGCTTACTGAGAAGCAATTGTACAGAAAATGGTGATATGATGGTTGTATGCCATCTTCTAGTCAAAAGTGTTAAACACTTGTACAAAGTCTATATGTATGGATCAATTTCTGTGTGATAAAGCGTTGAATTCAATTAAAATTAATATTTATTTCCAAACATGATACACTTAGGTCACCCAACCAAGAGAAACATTTAATTCGTTAGTTGTCACAAACAAGGGATCTTAATCATGAACATATTTCAATACGCGTCAATGATGCAAATCATGACCCCACCCATACACAACAGAAGAGTGACATAAAATCTCTGGCATGTATTTCCTATATTCTACTTCATTTTCTTGCTTGTACCTTGTCAATGCTTTCACCCAAAACATGGCTAGATATTTTGTTAGTACCTTCTTTTTGTAGTGGTTGGTACCTTTCTTTTCACTAGAGCAGAGGATTCAAGACGGTGGGCAACGTACACTTGAACAATTCTATTCTCGTCTTTCATGAGAACCCTATTATGACTATTTTCAAGACGACTGTTTGTAGTGTATTGAGGAGAAACATTCTCTTTCTTTTCATCATTGTTTTGAAACGGAACTTGGTTAGAGACTGATTGTTTGTTGAGCAAGGAAGGCTTTGATGAAGCCTTAGATGAAGAAGAGAATGAGCGCTGTTTGGTCATTGACGTAAAAATTCTTGGATTTATTCTATCATCGTGTACAAAATCTACAAGTAAATCAATTGCTTTAAAGTAAAACTCCTGAACTCCAAACATTGTCTTCTATTCCACATTCA